CGATAAGGGGATTTTGATAAGAGCGCTAAGAACACGTAAGTGCAACACTAGGCAAAGCGGGTTAGCGCCGATATTCGGGAAGGTAAAAGTAAAGTACGCGCGCTTCAAATTGCCGGCCGGCTTAAAACGGAAAACTTTAAGTGTCTACAAGCTGTTGCACGAAGACGACTACTTGAATAAGTTTTCTTTGACGTTGAGACTCGCTTTCTCCTTGACACGTGCGGAAGGAGGCAGGCGGCTTGTGAAGCGCGCTGCGAATTTATTTTTAGCCCGGCGAAAATTTCGGTTGTCTGCGCGCCCGCCGGTTTTCCATGCGTGCAACCAATCAAATTTTATGGCGGCGCTCGTTAATTAACGATTCGTTTCCGGGACGTCGGCGGGTTTTTGATTTTTATGTATATGAGGGTATTATGGGCGCGCGAATAACTTGATTATTGAGGTCGAGGCTCAAGAACAAGATCACGAACGCAATTGTGTGTGCGAAATTGTAACACTCTGTAGTGTTGTACATTTACGACTTTTGCCATAATACCTGTTCGGGCTAGCGCGTAAGCAATCTCGGTCATGGTCTTTTGATTATTGGTATTGCTACCTGCTAAAAATCGAAACTCGGAAGTGTTACTTTCTTAGGAATCTTGGTGTAGGAAGTGGAGTGACAAGCAACTTAAACTGCGGATTTTGATACATAAACAGGTCAATACCGGTATCAATACCGGTATACCGGTATTTTAATTATCGGTTTTCTTATTTTTTAAATTAAAAATAAAATATAAAATATATATATCAATACCGGTATACCGGTATTTTTTCTGTAAAATACCGATAGTTTTTAATATGATATTACGTCTAATATATACCTGTTTAGCGATATTTTGATTTAAAATACCGGTATACCGAAATACCGGTATTAATATCGGTATACCGGTATTTTAATTTTTAAAATTATCGATATTTCATTTTTTAAATTAAAATTTAAAATATCAAAACAAATAATAAATGAAAATAAAAATACCGGTATTTTTTTTGTTTCAAATACCGGTGTTAAACTAAAAATTCACATTCCTAGACAACGACACTCAAAATAAACTTTCTCCAAAGCATCCCCTAAATTGATTGCTATTAGTTTTGTGTAAGTCATAAACTGAGCCGGTTTAACGTGTAATTAGTGACCGAATCGGTGTGTAACAGCGAGCGCCACACTCGGCATCGTCGCGCAAACCGGTTTTAATTAACAAAATCCCCCTAATTGATAATTGCTTTGTTACCTGATGCTACGCCGTGATTTATACGCGCACTCACAACTTGCCACTTTCCCATCGATTACAATAAATTCTTGCCTGTGATTGGGGTGTTTTCACTCCCCGAATTTGACCGCTCATCCACACATGAATAATTTAACCCTTGCGGCTGGCAATCGGATGATTAATCTATTTGTTTATTAATTAATCAAAAACATTGCGTAACGGTATGAAATTTTAAAATTATGATAAATAAGAAAATATATATATTATTTTATTTTAAAAATATTAGTTGCGTCATGATAGTTTTTAATTAATTACACGAGAATTATTAGAGTTATCAACAAAATTCTTTCAGATATAAAATCTTAATTAAATTTCTACGTCAATGAGTTTTTAAATATTAATTTTCAGTTTATTACAAATAAAGTTATAAACAATTGAAATTCAATTTTCAGAAAAAAAATATAAATTTATTAAAATTTTGGGTTTTTAATTAATTACAATAAAACTATTTAAGTTATCAACAAAATTATTTCATATATAAAATTTTAATTAAATTCTTCATCTATAAGTTTTTTAATTTTATTTCTAGCTTCATTAGAACTAAAGTTATAAACAATTAAAATTCCTTTTCGACAAAAAAAATCATAATTTCACTCAAAATTCAAATCTATTCGTGTAATAATTATCCAAAACTATATCAAAACATTTTCAAATCATAAAATTATATATTTTATCCATAATAGTGTATAATACATATTATTTAGCAAAGAAAAACCTAATAATTACGCAATTTTAGGAATATTTTCCATATAAATACATAAAATTCCTGGGAATACTTGCGTTACACCAACATAACAATAATTTTTCGAAATGATTCATAAAGATAATGTTAACGATCACATGCGGCCTTTATTTTGCAATTAAAACAAATCGAATTTGTATAGATTTTAATGTGTCGATGTGTCGCCTCGGGTTTTACAACACACTACACACCACATAAATTAATTCTCGAATATCGCGTAGGATAAGTTTCACCTTGCTCTTTTCCTACTGCAGCACCGGAATTGAATGAAATGCGACAATGTGACTGAATTATTACGAAATGCTATCAGTCGAAAATGCGCGCAGGTCGTCGACGCACATCAAAACCGTTGCGTGCGTAAAAAATCTCGATGATTGACAAGTCACAAGTCGCAATACAAACAAAACAAAACGAAATAAAATACAGAAAAAAAAACGAACGGATTTTGATCGCTGCGCTGCGCTATTAATACCGGCGGTTAATTGTTTTCAGTATCACGATATCAGTGCTGGTGACTGACGGTGCACATACCGATGCATTTGTTAAACGAATGTTGTTATTAAATTTAAAAACCCCGCATCGTAGTATTACTTATTTATTATCGGTAAGCAAGTAGTAACGTTACAAGCGTACAAGCGGCGAACTCGTGTGCAGCTGTTTTTACCTGTGTGTAAAAGTGTTTGTTGTTGACGAATCCGGTGTGACAAGTCCGTTTCTGGCGACGATTTTAAAGATTGTGGGTGATTGCTCCGCTTGCACAGCGCGGTGCATTTCACAATTCAGTTCGATTTTGTGCGTTTGTCGTGATTGTTGTGTTTATTTTGTGTACTCGTATTTTGTGTATTGACTTGAGATTGGAGACTGTATTTAAAGGTAATTTCTTTTGAGTATTATTTCTAGTGCATCGAACTACGTGTAAATTAACACGTTTTTTGTTTGTGTTATGTCATTAAATGAGTTTTATGTATCGATGATTCTTGGTAGTCGCGCTGTTTCCAGTCTAATGGTGTTAATGGTTTAATGTCTTGATTTGTTCTAATCTATTGTAGACATTTGTGTGTAATTTCATGGTCTACAGCGTGAAACTGCTTGAAAAACATTGAAAATCTATGGTTTTTTTTACATCGTGCGATAATATTTATTACGTAGTGATGGTTTTTAATTAATTACAAGAAAAGTATTTGAGTTAGAGACATGATTCTTTCGGATATATTTTCTCAATTAAATTCTACGTCTATAAATATATAAATTTTAGTTTTAACTTTATTACAATTAAAGTTATAAACAATTAAAATTTAGTTTTGAAGGCAAAAAAATAAATAAATGGTTTTTAATTAATTTCAACAAAACTATTTGAGTTTTCAACAAAATTCTTTCAGAGATATATTCTCAATTAAATTCTGCATCTATAAATATATAAATTTTATTTTTAACTTTATTACAACAAAAGTTATAAACAATTAAAATTCATTTTTGAAGGCAAAAAAATAAATAAATGGATTTTAATTAATTACAACAAAACTATTTGAGTTATCAACAAAATTCTTTCAGAAATATATTCTTAATTAAATTCTGCATCTATAAATATATAAATTTTATTTTTAACTTTATTACAATTATAGTTATAAACAATTAAAATTCATTTTTGAAGGCAAGAAAAATAAAAAAATGGTTTTTAATTAATTACAACAAAACTATGAGAGTTATCAACAAAATTATTTCAGAGATATATTCTCAATTAAATTCTACATCTATAAATATATAAATTTTATTTCTAACTTTATAACAACAAAAGTTATAAACAATTAAAATAAATTTTTTAGGCAAAAAAACGTAAATTTATTAAAATTTTACGTTTTTTACTTTATTTGTTGATAAAATTCACTGCCACTATAAAAAAAAACAAACACTTAAGCTTATAATAAATATGCACTATACAGTAACATGGATTTATCGATCTAAGAATTGTTTCGATTCAATTCGTTGAATTAAACGATGTTTACGCGAAATAAATTTACTATGTTGCTAACAGTTTAAGCGCTTCGGATTGATTAAGTGCAACAGTGTAAATATTTGATTCAAGGCTACAGCTTTCTTTTCTTTGCCATTTCAACAATTCTAGAATTTTTTTCCTTACCAATAACTTTCGATTATTTACATTTGAAAAATAAAAAAAATTAAAATAAAAAAAAACGCAAAAATTCGAAACACAATTAATGATGTTGGATTTTAATGATTTGTTTTACATTTATACCCTCTCTCTATGCATCTTTTAATTGGATACTAAAATTTCACAATCATAATTTTAATGCCTAAAGAGAAAAAAATATTTTTTGAATCTTTAAAACTGAACAAGACGATGTGCATTAAAAATTATTTACCAAATGAAAGCCTGCTTGCTTTGGCGTAGAAGTAAACATCAAAGGCAAGCAGACGTGCATGGCATTCATAAGTGCACTGCTTTTCTAATGCGAGTCTCATGCACTTAGCGAAACGAATTTCCCGCAAGATGTTCGCAGCGGTTTTGGCCTGCGGTTGAACATAAATCACCGGCGCATTTGTTGAATTTTTAAGCGTTAATTTACTGCATTTTTGAGAGTTGGGTTGTTTGCTTAACTAAGAATGCAGCGCACCTGTTGCCGAAGTTCTTCTGCAAGTCGCGCTGAGTGGATGCGTAATTGTGTTACCCTAAAGAATGAATAAAACATATGCTCCGGCAAAGAATGAAATTGAATGAAATCGAAAAATAGGTTTCCGAAGGTGTTGCAGCTGTCCGTTTGCATTGAGAAATGAAAAATCGGCCTCCAGCGCACGACGCGGACGTGGTGGAAATGGGAAAGCGGCGCTCGCGTCGTGGAGGAGGCGGGAGTGCGCGATCCAGTGCGCGCGCGGGACGCCGTCGACGAGAGTCTCACCACACTTGCCGGCACTAACGCGTTTTGTTGTTTTCGCAGGGACGGCGGGGACGGAGAGAGACGTGGAGGAGCTAGGCGCGTGCCCAGTCTGCGGCTAGCGAACGGGCGGGTGGCCGCAGCTCAGTCCGAAGAGGAGATCCGCTCGCCGCCGCCGCGCCGCTTGGCCAAGGATGACTCCATCAAGATCAGCATCGAGAACACCAACACGTGCACCGACTCCCTGGTGACCGCACTCGATGACGAGACGCTGCTCATCGCGGACTTCCTCTCCAACGACATGAACTACAAGGGCAGCGGCAAGGTGCACTTCGGTGTAGACGATGTGTCGCTCTATGGCACCCCCAAGGAGGAGCCGGGCCCGACGCCGCTCGGTTCCACCGAAGCTGGCAAGCAGAGTTTCCTCAAGAACCAACTGCAGGCCCTCTTTCAGCCCACCGACAACAAGCTGGCGATGAAGCTCTTCGGCTCCAAGAAGGCGCTGATGAAGGAGCGCATTCGACAGAAGGCCGCCGGACACTGGGTCATACATCCTTGCTCCAGCTTCCGGTGAGTGCAATTCTCGTCATCAACATCATCATCATCATCATCCACATCACATCACAATATGCATATTATATTATACCAGCGACAAAACCGATAATTTGTTGCTCCTCGACGCATGCAATCACAAATGTTTCCGGCCGAGCGTAATTTTATCGACGTATTCAAATGAATTTTAAATATTCGCATAATTATCATTTCTATGGAAATGCAGGTGCAGATTAATCCGGCGTGTTTACATTAACATTACATCATTTATTCAAACACACCGCACGTGTGTTAAAAATTAAAAATTAAATAAATTAACAACAAAATGCGCGATTTTCATGTGCGTGCAGCCATCGGAATGAACGCAAACAGTATGTGAATTATTCCGAATGAATTCGTGTGTTCTTCTGGCCGAGTGAGCACTTTTACCCAAATTAATATCATCTGCTATGTGCCTAATAAGCAATTATTCACTGATGGCGGCCGGTGCAGAGGACAATCACGCCGATCGTTAATAAGTGTGCTCCCAATCTTGTTTGTGGTTGCGATCAGAACCACAATTGAAACTATTTCGTGAATCTCGACGTAATTAATCAAAGTACGAGTAATTAATTCCCCCCAAAACACTTGTCAATCAGCGAATATAATTTAAGTTGAATTTTTCAATGTCGTTGCCGCAATGGCGACATATTTATTATCTCCGCGAAGATATATAATTAGGTGTCAAGTTCAGCTCTCTCGCAGTCGGGAGCGCTATCATTTGTTTCGGTCACTTTTTTTCTATTTTTTCTATCGGCGAGTAAAAATAGAAAACAAGTCAACGCGTGTCTGATTCATTGATTCCTCCTGCCTGCACTTTTCGTTTTGTTTGTATTTGGATTTATATCAACTCCAAATGTATGGATCGCGTGGGCGCTTGTCATAATCGATTCTTTTCAAACGTGCTTAACGCCGCGATCCGCAATTTACGCGAATAAAAGAGATTAATTTGCAATAAAAATTAGCGCACAATGCGGCGGAATATGCGCAATTATCTGATTGAATCAGTGACATATTTTTATTTTTTTCAATTTGGTTTTTTTCCACTTTTAGCGAATTTAAAGCGGTTCGTCGATGGTTAAATATTTAAAAAGGTCAAAACGATACAAACCCAGAGGTTGGCAAATCAAGAAATTGCATTTTCGATCGCGAACGTGAATTATTTACTCACTTTAGGGAAGAGATGCAAATGCAAAATCGTGTTTTAGGTTTTTTTTTTATTTTTATTTTGGTGAAGCAATCGAAAACGTTGCTTTGCATTGCGATTACAAGTTCACTCAGTGAATAAACTTCAACTTGTAACCGTGACAAGCAGCGGGAGCAAGTGTAATCCGTCAAAACTGCACGCGAATTTAAATAAGACGCTTTTCCGGGCTTCCCAGGCGCTAAATGTAGGTGAAATGTAAAACATCGCATAAAGTTGAACGGAATGATAAATGTGCATCAGGTGAAGACTTTTTCGTAAATTACCCGTCGCCTGTGCCTATCTTAATGAATTTTTTATTGATTTTTTAAATTATTTCAGATATTTATGCATTAAAATACAATTTGATCACATGCGCGGGTAAACAGTAATGCTTTGCTTTTTTTAATTGATGCTACAACCAGTATGTGTCATAGATAATTGCATAGTTGGCTCTCGGTACGATTTGTAGCCTTAATTGAGGCTTATGCGCCTCAAATTGGATGCGCGCGGCGCGTTCTAATTGAATGGAGACTTTGCGACCGCAGCAATGGAATTCCACACTCGATTGTCAATCCATGTTTTGTTCTTTGCCACTTTTCGGAATACATTTCAATCGAATTTCGGGCTTAAAATATATTTGCGTGTCGCCAAATATGATTGTATCATTAAAATATCCACTTTTTCACATATTTCGAAACACTTGTCATGTTTTTTTTGTGTGAAACATGCACGGTGAAAAAGTAATCGTTTCGTGTAATCCACAACGAGCATTCAAATTTCATGTGCATTCTTTAAATATCCAAAAACGAGCCGGAACCGATTCGGGCGGAATATAATGCGGTGTAAACGTTGCTGCGACATAGGTTTGGAAATGTACAACAATGAAAAATTGATTTATTGAAGTTGCATTATCGGCCCATGTGTTTAGCTGTCGCTCATTGTTCGACATTTCGCGCTGCGGTGCGAAATTGCAATCGAACAAAAGTTTTTTTTTCCCATTTAAGAAAAGTTACGTTTCGTAAACATCTGTACCCACACATACAGAGAATTTATTTGTAAATATTTAGACGCGGTTAAAGTGTGTAAAATATTTTTTTGCTGGAAGTAATCAACTCACTCGTTCCGGAATAAACTGAATTTAATGATTGAACGTTAACTGATCACATGCAGCTGAGAGATGATTGGTGCGCGAAACGTTCAATAACTTATTGCGCGCGGATATAATGTAAACTTGACTTGAAATTGGTATTTTTGCCCTGACCGATATTCACGATCATGATCACATGTCGATGATTTTTTTTTTGATTTTTGTAATTTTTTTCGTGTTTGCTGATGAGTAAACACACTGGTAGTGGTGTATCGTGTATCACGTCTCATGTCTCTAACACTTCATGCATATTTAGACAACCCATATTACCTCATTTGCCGCACGGGTTGCCTACCATCAACTATTTACACCTATACTGTTTGTTACGTAATTCTACATTTCACAGATGATTTATGACGCGTGTAATGAAACATTTCTATCATACTTAATGTCAACACGTTAGTATTGAAAGAAAGGTACTAGTAAAAAATATTCCAACCTAAAAAAATGCAAAACAGGGTTGATATTGCATTGTAAAGTTTAACGACTTTTTTCGGTTTAATCCTACACCTGTTTTCGCTTCCATTTCGTGTGTGCTGTTTATATTCCACCTGCAGTGTTCAGAAACAGAGTTATTTTGTGTGAAGTTTTATAGGTTAGGATGAAATTCGTTCAACAGTTAGTATGCGCGTTTGGAGCTAGGTGGCATTCGCAGTAGGTGCTCAAATAATCCAACACCCACTTGCATACACATTGGCTCTTTGCTCTTGTTTCATTTCGGCCGGCTGCGCGTTTGGGTGTAGCCAGTTTAATATAAAACAACACGGCCATTGAAATTCGTGACATTGCCCTTGAGCCTTGAACTAGTTATTGCCGCCCACGGAGCAACGCAGTGCACGAGCGCGCCATACACCACACCGCCATTTTCTATGTGTATGTGAATTTGTGGAAACGTTAAATCGACCGCGCGAACAATGCACATTCCGCATTATCGTGGATAAAGTCTCGTAATACACGCGAATACTTTTGATTAACTCGAACATTTTATTCCGTTTGATCTGCACGCATGCATTGGGATATTCGGAGGCTTTCACTTGAGATTTACGAGGCTTCTGTTGAAACGATAAACAATTGACGTATTTATAAAGCCAAAAATGATTTAGATCGGTCGGTTTATATTAGCATTAAGTTTTAAGTGCGGCATATCGTAAACAGGCAACCAGAATGCTTAAAATAAGTTCATATACGTAATATTCACATTGAGAAACACATTGTATCTCACATATAGCACGCAGTCTTATAAACAAGCAACCAAGTTTACATACTACATTACAGTGAGAAATTCCGCGCAAATTTTTGCCGAAAATTTTGCATGCGTCCGGTGTAAAATTCAATTTCCGGTTCGCAACTGTTTGAGAATTGTGAAAAAAAAGCGCCCGGTTGGTAATTTTATAGCTGAAAAACGCGCGCAGCAATAAAATTTCGCTTCTTTTCGGGGCTACTTTTCTTCATCTTGCTGCGAGTCCCAATGGCGGACGAAACAGGGTCAAACTTAAAGGTCGATATCGTCGTAACGAGTCGCTCGCATCAATATCACTTAACTTAACTCGGGCAACGGGGTTTGAAAAATTGCCGGCGACTTCAGCACATTTCGGCGCAAATTATTGCCACCCTCGCATATATCAAGTCTTCGGCATCTATCAATAAAAATTATTAGCCCCGCAACAAGGCGTTTTAATTATTACTATATGTGATTAATTGGAAAATTATTTGATAGGCAATACATAAAACATGTATTTTGGGTTGCCTAAGCAAAACTTTGGTTATTTGTACAAAAATTGATATTTTTTGTATTTTAACAAATAATTTCGTATTTTATGGAAATAATAGGAATTAAGCAATCGTAAAATTTGGTATTGCAATGAAAAATAGCAAAAATTTTAGTTTTTCTGCTTTAAAACTCACAAAAACACTTTTTTAACCGCACTTGTGGAAATTTATTCGAAAATACGAAAGTCTTCGGCATCTATCAATAAAAATTATTAGCCCTGCAACAAGGCGTTTTAATTATTACTCTATGTGATTGATTGGAGAATCATATCATAGGCAATACACAAAACATGTATTTTGGGTTACATAACTATAATCTTGGTTATTTTTACAAAAACTGATATTTTTCGTATTTTAAAAAATAATTTCGTATTTTATGGGAATAATAAACAATTAAACAATCATAAACTTTGGTATTGCAGTGAAAAAGAGCAAAAATTTTAGTTTTTCTGCTTTAAAACTTACAAAAACACTTTTTTAACCGCACTTATAGAAATTTATTCGAAAATACGAAACAATTCGAATTCAAAGAACGCAATTCGAAGCCGCGTTTGACACTAGCGATAAACAAACGCACGATGTACTACCTACTCGTTGAAACAGTGTTTATTTGAATATCAATTGATTCTAAACGCACACCCGACTTGTACCAATAAATACGCACGAAAGTCGAATAAATTCGCGCAACTTTCGCAATGCGAATCGCTTTTCAAACAGATCAGCTCACATTCTCAATAAACAGTTTTCGAAATATACCTACCTGCGGACACGATTAATCTTAATAACTTTTGATAGCGCGTGATAGCAATATGAATAGACTCGCGTAAAACGCAAAGGCAATTAATTTCATGCCAGACATTATTGTTATTGTAACAC